TAGGACCGATCATAAGGTACTCACTTAGTTCTGCATCTCTCGTCCTGTCTGGCACCCAGGGTCCAGCCTTACACGCCTTCCCGTAGAAGTCGGCCAGAGCCTTCAGCCTATTTTCTGTGTGAGACCGGGTGGGGTCACAGGATCTTTCTAGCACTAGGGTTTCTAGATACTGGAAACGAAAAAGAATAGTATAGAACATAACATAACATCACGCCTTTAACCTCGAAGCGAAGGGGTAGGTCGTTTTCTGCCTTTTAGGAATTAAGGATTGAAAATAAACTGGCGCTTACTCTCAAAACCGATCTCAATGTCTATGCGATTTCAATCCAATCTAATTTCAATAATTATTCGATGTCCAAACTGTACAACCCTAGCTATCAAAATATCATTCAGAGTATGGAATATTAAACCAAACTCAATACCATTTAGTTCATTAAATATCCACGCAATACGGATGTAATGGGCGCTAGTGTTGCGACTCAAGAGTACGAAATTTCACAAGACCAATGTCGATCCATCGGAATTGGATACAAGAGTGAGCTGTTCGTACATACCGCAGATAAGGTCTCGCTAAGAGGTCGGAGGTAATCCATGGACTCTCCAGGGTGGCAGAGTGTGGTGTTCCTCAGAACTGCATGTAGTGTGGATGACTCAGCAGGTAGGATGCGTCGGTTGACTACCGCTACTATATTGCGGGCGAATGGTCCTGGAAGTAAAGGAGATTTTAGTTAAGTCTTGTGTTTTTGAGCTAATGAGTGAGAGAGCCAAACTTGGCACCACTATTGTTAGTTAAGAAGTCGCGAGTGCAATTGTCAAGACAGCTAGATATTTTTCGGTTTCTGAATTATCAATACTAAGACTTGAAGTTAACGGATATAGCCTTGTAGCCTTATAGGCTTGTCTTTCTGATTTACAATATTAATCAAGCCCAACTGTGAGGAGTGTGGAGTTGTCGAGGATATACATCACTTGTTGATGGAATGTGTTCGATATGAGACTGGTAATAGGTTGCTCAGGGATTTGAAGTTGAACAAGAACGATATAGGTACATTCGATTGTGAGAATCTTGTTCAACTTCATGGCTCTGATTCATTGATTAATATACTTATTAGTTTACGATGGAACTGACGAACGCTGTGCGGTATAAAAGTCCATACCCCCGCTCCCTTCTCTGAACCTTAAATCCCAAGCTAAAAGACTGGCAACGCACTTGCAAATCCTCTAGTGTTGCGGGTGTCCAGGGGCGGCGTCGATTGCTTAATAATCACCAGTTGACCAGACAGCTCCATTGGCGCCCTATCCAAAAAAATATGCATCGCTATCGACCTTCTGGTGGAGTTTATACGCAAGTTATTCAACAAATTACTTACTAGATCTCAATCTCAGCTCGTTGGTAACCAACACATCGATGTTGGCCCACTGCGCCGCCACTAGGTCCTCTGGACTGAATACTCCAAAGTCCACAGTCCCCTTGCTGATACGACGGAGACAGTCCAGTCTGAAACAAATGAAATTAATCGAGTTGTTAACGTAATTTTGAACCGTGTGACGACCGCAGAAGACATTTATTTGTCACAACCCCGCCAGCTATTCATGAAGGTGTTATGAATCCCCCGATATTTCGATCATCGTGGCCAGTCTAACTAGACTAGCCCATTACGCAGAATATATTATTATAGTGCGCAAACACAAGTGTATGCTCTGTTCCCTCACTCTTTGAGCCCGATGGGACGGCAGACTGACACGGCCGGAGACACCAAGGTGTTATGAGAGCCGAGGCCGACTAAGGGACGCAGATCTGACAGATACCGGGCAGATAACGGGCAGTACCGCTCTTTCATCAACGGCCTATAAATGCCCACTGCTGAGCAAAGCCTCTTCTCACACGGAGGTTGGTGCATTTATCACCACGCTTGCTCAATGCTGGTTGGCGATTACAAACTTATAATTAGAAATTATAAGCCCAGGTTTCGCCGAATGATTGGGTCGCTTATGGGCAGGCATGCTGTATCGTAGGCCGCATCATCGCCTACCACTAGGCGAGATAAAAATAGAATAGGAATTACCTGTCAGTTCCCAAAACGCACTCAACCCCAGCGTTCTCCTTGTCCAGTATGGGGCAGTGCGTGGGCGCTCGCTTGTACAGTCCTCGACCTTCCACTATGCAGAGACGCACTGCAAGAGAGAGACAGAAATAGATTAATATTAAGTATGTTAAGTACATAATTACAATAAATTTGGTTTCAGTTCAAAACCGACATCAATCTCCTTTTTTTAAAGTCGCAACAAACACTCTTCTGAAAACATAACATGACATAACATCACGCCTTTTATCCCCGATTTAGGCAGAAGTGCACCCTACAGCACTTAATGCCACTGTATAATGTAACACCCACTTTTCACTATTTATGTTTCAGTCCCATGTAATAGAATTAGATAATATCAATTTTCCGGGCGTCGGGGATCGCGAGACGATCTCCGGCCACCGTAAGCACGGGCCTGCGGACGGCGAGCACGGGTGACTCGCCGCCCGACCAGAACCAGGCCCGAGCGTACGGCGCGTCGCGTTCCGCGCGCGCTTCATGGAGCCGGTCTGACCACCACAGATGGGGCCTAACAGGGCTGATGCCGATACGGAGCCGCGGAAGACTTAACGGGTTGCCGGGGCTCCGGCTCGAAGTGCAGGAGTAGGAACGGGGTGGTTTTTAGTCAGTAAGAGTTGACACTCCCTCCCGCCTCACCCGGGCGGGAGAAGTCATTGGATGATTTTCCCCCCTCAAAAAAAAAAAGATAATATCAATTTCATAAGACCACAAACGTCCTTGACGTTGAAAAAGGGCGAATACAGTCTCTTGAAACAACGACTGTGGCACCTGACTACTATACACTTACACGCAGAATACACACACATTGACACGAAGTACTTCCATTGCGTGACATGGCCCGTCATTACACTTCATACATTACGGTGTTGTAAGTATACGCACACATGAATATACCACTGATCATTTGTGAACTTCAATCATTTGTAACTAAATTTACGTCCGTGTTTTTTCAATGTCTTTGAAGGCAATAATAACAAATGAAAGATGAACCATTAATCATTAAGGTTCAAATGGCTCCTAACGCCCTCAACAATAATAAGCTAAGGAAGAATATTGCACAATATTTCTACTTCAAAACAATACAAAACAATCACGATATGACCTTGACATACAAAAGAATAAAACAATAATTACTAATACAGATACAGAACCTCCTACATTAGAAGACTCGGTTAAAGGAAGATTGATTATGACGTATGTTTAGTGTCAAAACAATATGACTAGTCAAATAACACACACACACATAGGTACATCAACAGCCTATTGGCTATGTGCGCGACGGTGGCGACGCGTAGGGTTTACAACATTTGCGGAAGCTGTCAAATAATAACAATGTAAACATTATAATTTTCTTTGCAAATATAAATAAAAGGAAAATTAATATAGTATTGTTGTCATTATTTAAGTGCAATTTATTCAATAGTTTTACTGTAAAATGAATATAATAATAAAAACCGGGTTTGCATCATCCGCATTTGTTTCCAATTTCTGCCGTGTTGTGCGCTGCGGTCGTTATCTGTCCGCCACTACTCGCTTTGCATATAGCCAATAAGTGGCCACTGCTAACCAACCAAAGTACATTAAAAATACTCAACTTTAGACTGATTAAAATTAATATTATATTTTTTTTTACGGGCGGAAAATCATCGAATGACTTCTCCCACCCGGGTAAGGCGGGAGGGAGTGTCAGACTCTTACTGACTAAAAACCACCTCGTTCCTACTTCTGCACTTCGAGACGGAGTCCCGGCTACCCGTTAGTCTTTACCTGACTGACGGACTAATTAGATTTTTAATTTTCATACCCTGTCATCATCCCAATTGTAGTTTGCTTTTTTCTAAGTAATTGATGTTTTTTCTGAGGGTCATTTCAACTATCTAAGTCACACTACGTCACTGTCCTTCGGCTTCATAAGTACCTGCTGACGTGAGTTTTGTCTCTGCATCACACAAACAAATGTTACGCCATCAGATACCGGTTTCTATTGAGGCGTGAGCACCTAATTGACTATTGAAAGTGTAAAATATGATTTCGATTATTTAGAGTCATTTACACCCGTACATTCACTGAGATTATCATTATGCCTGATAAGTAACATAGTCTATACCTACTAATATTATAAAGAGGAAAGATTTGTACCTATTTTTGTATGTTTGTAATGAATAGGCTCAAAAAGTAGTGGGCCGATTTAAAAAATTCTTTCACCAATAGAATACTATATTCTTCCAATTTGACATAGGCTACATTTCATTTTGAAAAAAATTTGAACAATGTAACCGAAGGTGTAGAAAAATTAGTCTTAAAATGTCTTTCGTCGAATGCGCTGCCGAAACTATTAGCGATAGAATAAAATAATGTACAACAATATTGAAGAACATCATTGACTGGAGCCGTTGAGTGCGGACGTTTCATACGATTTTTTTTTTTTTGCTAAAAAATTGAGAATGTGTTTAAACAATATTGACTTATAATGTGAAAACAAAATAGTGAATTAAAGACTATAGTGGTGTGAACTGTTTTTACAATTTTATTCGCGAGTGCAATATCGCGTGTGCGGCATAGGCTGAGGGAAGCTCCTCCTCACCTCGGGTAAAAGAGACGGGCTGCTATAATTCATCCTTGGCGCAGCGTCGGCTGCGCAGTTCCGCACGCATACAGCGATACGCAGCGATATACAGCGATACACAGCGACACTTTGTGAATAACGTTCATAATAATTTGAAAAACTATGGCCAACAAGTGCAGCGCTTGTTGTTCAACTATAATGGATATCTACTTCATGGAATGCTCTAATGATATGTGCATGAAAAGATATGACTTAAAATGTCTTAATATTGCGTTTGGCGCTTTTAAAGCTTATACCCTAACATATAAAAAGAAGTGGGTATGCCCGGATTGCATTTGTCTGAAACCGAAGAGTGGAAACATGGAAACTCCCGTGAGAACTGATACAACTGATCTTCATATTACCACCACACCGCTGAATAATGTAAACACCCACCGCGGTGGTCAGGCCGAGTTCTCCCCTGTTATGATGGATAAAGATGTGGATTCTGCATTGCTTGTTGAACTAAGGCAGTTTCGTTCAGACATTATTACCCGGTTGGACAGTCAGGCAAGGGCAATTACGCAATTGCAATATCAATTTTCACAGACCAAAACGGACCTAGACAATCTAGTAAAAATTATAACAGTCATTGAAAGTAAAGTGACACAGGCTCAGAACTACCAATCGCAGGAGGCGATAACAGAGGAAGTAACTCAGAGCTCGCCTACCACATTTGCTGAAGCTGTGACCTTAAACACTTCGCCCAACACTCAACCCACCAACATCGCAACTAACCAGCATACTACCGCCAGAATGCAAAAAGTAAATAACCGTGTGGCCACGAAGTCCGCTAGGTCGGCCGCCCATTTGAGCATCACTGATACAGGACCTACCATGGATCATTTAAAAAGTGTGGACGACAGACCAATTAACCAAGCTGGCTGGACTGCCGTGCGAAACAAGAAATTCAGCCGTTTATCTAAGGATGTCAGTGTTGGAAAGAATACTGAGATAAAGACAATACTCGCTGCAGAACGAAAGAAACACCTACACGTATGGCGACTACATCCCGAAACCACAGTAGAAGCTATGACTAACCACGTTAAAAATATTTGTGGCAAAGACGTGGTTGTAAAGATTGAGAAAATTAAGCACAAAACAGAACGAGACTATTCATCATTCATAATAGGAGTACCAGAACAAATGTATAGCGAGTTAAATAAAGCAGAGGTTTGGCCGGTTAAAGCGGAATTTAAGGAGTGGATTTGGTTTCGTGGATATACCAAAAATACATTCAACGAGCAGCAATAATATAGAAATATATTATCAAAATGTAAGGGGTCTTCGTACAAAATTAGAAGTCTTCAGGAACAATATAATATCATTTGATTCGGACTTATACGCTATTACGGAATCTGGCTGCAACGAATCCATTCACGACGCTGAAATTGTACCTCAGGGATATAAGATAATACGATGTGATCGGATGGATGGGCGTAAGCAAGGCGGCGCGCTTCTCGTGGCCACACACCGGTTCGAACTGCGACAGGTACATGTCTCGGACGCATTGATAAACACCTGCGTGTTTGAAATTGTTTGTGCCACTGTCCATTTAAATAATAGATTTTTGTTTGTATGTTGTGTAGTTTATATCCCACCGGCGAGTTCTGAAACTGATTACATGATGTTGTTTAGGTTAATAGAAAATATGTGTGATAGATATAGGCAAGTTATTGTTATTGGAGATTTTAATTTACATTCTTGCCCTGTGGGTATTAGTAATTATTATGAATACTTTGTGTCCTATTGTGAATTTACCCAAAGTAACAAGGTAGCCAATATATTAGGGCGTCAACTGGATTTGGTTCTGAGTACGGGTTTTAGCGCGGAGGTGTCGGTAGTGGCGGCGCGTGACGCGCTTGTGCCCGTCGACGTGCAGCACCCGCCGCTCGCGGCAACCGTGCGCCCCGCGCCCGCATTTACTGCCCCTGCATCTTCCTCGCGAACCGCCAAAGCTAGCACGGAGTGCGGACCGCAGTGGAACTTTTATAAAGCCGATTTTCAGTCATTATATTCGATGCTTGCTTCTACTGACTGGAATTCCATGTATCAGATGCAAGACTTGGAAGAAAGTTTAGATATGTTTTATAATAAATTAGATAATATCTTAGACAAATGTGTACCTAGGAGAAAGCTTAACCGAGAAAATTCCCGATACGTGTATCCCGAATGGTACTCAGGAGAGATCATAAAATACATTAAAATTAAAGCTAACCTTCACAAAAAGTACAAAAAATCAAAACGTGATTGTGATTACAGTGAATACGCTGAGTGTAGAGCCCGGGTTAAAAAGTTAATAGACATAGCACATACAGAACACAAAAATAAAATTCAAAACAGATTTGTTAAAGATCCAAAGTCATTCTGGCAATATATAGCATCAAAAAAGTCTAGAATTAATCGGCAAAGTATAATAAAAGATGGTCGTAATCTTACGGATGAGCAATGTGTTGTGGAGTTCGCAGGTTTTTTTGAGTCGGTATACAACCGGGAACCACCGAAACTAGACGCGCAGGCGGCGGAGACCAGAAGTCGAGCCGGCAGTGCACGTGTACATATTGGGGCCTTGAGTATAAAGGACGTGCAGACAGCGTTGATGAACCTTAAGCCAAAGCGTTCATCTGGCCCTGACGGAATACCAGCATTCCTTTTCAGAGATTGTGCTAGAGTTTTAGTGAGCCCGCTGCATCACGTCTTCAATATCTGCTTACAGCAGTCGACATTTCCGGATCGGTGGAAGATCACACGAGTCGTTCCAGTGCCCAAGGGTAAGTCAGGTCCAGATGTCAGCGGGTACAGACCGGTGGCGGTGCTGTCGACACCGGCAAAAGTATTTGAATCCGCAATCCAAAGCTGCCTACAGGGACAGGTACAAGCGCAGCTATCGGATGCGCAGCACGGCTTTCGGCCCGGGCGCAGCACTGCCACCAATCTGCTTAACTTCATGGCACAGGTTGTGCCGGTGGTGGATGCTGGCGGGCAGGTGGACGCGGCATACTTTGATTTCAAAAAGGCATTCGACACCGTGGATAACGATGTCTTACTAGAAAGGCTGGCAGACGTAGGATGTACGCCGCACTTATTACAATTCTTTGTCAGCTATATGCGGGACCGTCAGCAGTATGTCGATTACAATGGGCACGTGTCGGAGCCTTATTACACCAGATCTGGGGTGAGTCAGGGTAGCAATTTGGGGCCACTGGAATTCATCATAATGATTAACAGCTTACCGGAAGTAGTAAGACATAGTACATGTTTATTGTTTGCAGATGACCTCAAGTTGCTGCTCGAGGTTGGGGATCAGTCTGACTGTGAGCGACTCCAGGGTGACATAGATAGGGTGGTGAAGTGGAGCCAGGACAATGGGTTGTGCTTCAATGTATCAAAATGCTCGATAATATCCTTTACTCGTGCGCGGAATCCTATCTGCTATGAGTACATGGCGGAGGCGACAGCATTACAGCGAGTTACACAAGTACGTGATCTAGGAGTACATCTTACTCCAGATCTTACGTTTCGCGAACATATCGTAAAGATATGTAAAAAGGCTTACAGGAACCTCGGCTTTGTGCTTCGGCAGTCGCAAGGGTTCACAAACATCACAGCGATTAGGGTGTTATACGATGCACTAGTCAGAAGTCATTTAGAATATGGTGGGGTTGTATGGGCCCCACACGAAGCGAAGTACTCTGACATGCTGGAGCGCGTACAGAATAAGTTCGCGCGCCACTTGTACTGGAGACTGTATGGGGTATACCCGTTATACCCGTTGATGTACCCCACACTTTTTGTACTGGGTATGGTGTCATACAATGAGTTGGGCGTGCGGCGACAGTTCACACTGGTCGTCTACCTAATTAAGTTACTCCACGGCAAGCAACACAACCCCGGAGTGCTGCAGCTCTTGAGCTTTAGTGTTCCGGACCGCTATGTGTGGAGGCGCCGGCGTCCACCGCTGCTGGCCGTCCCGGCTGCCAAGACCAACCTACTGGCCAAAACGCCTCTGACGCGAGCAATTCGTACGATTAACCAAATCCAGACTGTAATAGATGTATTTGCGTGTCAGTTCAATGAACTCGCAAAGATTATTTTATATATACTGTGTTATAGGTTAGAGTAGTAGATATAGTTTTAGTGTTAAGTTGCTTTTATTAGTCTAGGTATTGTTAATTTGTTATTGTTAGTTTTGTAAATGTAAGTAAATGTAAGTAAATGTCCGTATAAAGTGCCACACTAACGCATTAGGTTATATAATTTACCTGTAATGTTAGCTGTAAGAGTTGAAATAAATAAATAAATAAATAAATAAATAAATAAATCATAATGTCTACAAAAACTCCACGGTAGCATATGTCCAACTATTGTAGTTATGCCACTACAGCAATCCAAATTTCCAAAAATAAATTATTGTCTACCCCGTGCGAAGCCGGGACGGGCTGCTAGTGTTGTATATAGTTACTACTTCCGCGCGGTTTCCCTCGCTCTGCTCGGCGCCTATCAATCGTAGCGTGATATTTTATAGCCTATAGCCTTCCTCCATAAATGGGCTATCCAACACAGAAAGAATTTTTCAAATCGGACCAGTAGTTTTGGAGATTAGCGCGTTCAAACAAACAAACAAAAAAACAAACTCTTCAGCTTTATAATATTAGTTAGTACCTATAGATTAATTTATTGTACATTTGACGACCCATATCAGACTCCTATTGCTCCCATAAATCCCCAAGCGGTCACCGGTGACCGCTTTCCACTAATATTACATTACATTATAGACCTTATTTCTAATGTTTAGAGAATACTTTTGTATGACCAAATTTAGGGGATGGATATCAACGGGGTATCTAAAGGTTGTCTGTAAGAAATCGCCTTGTGCGATGAGACCGCCCATTGTACACTATTTTTGTTAATATTTCTCCTATAATGCGATTGTGTGGTATACAATAAAGCATATTATATTATTATTATAACATAACATCACGCCTTTTATCCCTGAATAGGTAGGCAAAGTTGCACATTACGGCACTTAATGCCATTGTACAATGTAACACCTACTTTTCACTATTTATGTTATGAGTCCCATGTTATTACATGGGACTCATAACATAAATGGGGGTGAGCCTATTGCCATATACCGGGCACAGTTCCAGGCTCCGTGACACTACTGAGTTTTGTTAAAAAACCCAGTTATATTTTGCCCCACCCGGGAATCGAACCCGAGAACCCTTCTCTGGCCCTCGCACTTCTGACCACTCAGCAAACTCCTCTCCTAGCTACTAATGTGGGGCAATGTTTTTAAAAATAAATAGTGAAAAGTGAGTGTTACATTGTACAGTGGCATTAAGTGCCGCAATGTGCACCTCTGCCTACAGACGTGATGTTATGTTATGTTATGGGAATTAAAGAACTAAAAATAAAGGCAAAGCCAATAATTCTCGTGATCCTACCTTGAAAGACTAGGTACTAAGAAAAACAATATTTGTTCAATCAAAGCGTGTCATTATTTCTTCAATAAATAGTAGGTACTAATAATAACTATGTTGTCAAGACATATAAGTATATTATATTGTTTTTTCCTTGACACTTGTAGCAGTCTAGGTAGTGCACCTATCATCATCAACAGCCTATAAATGCCCACTGCTGACCAAAGGCCTCTTCGCACACGAAGAAGGTTTGAGCATTAAACTGTCAAACACCAAGCGGTCACCGGTGACCGCAACCTATTGTTCTATAATTGTGTCTACAAAACCGGTACTCGACGAGTTAATCACCAGTCACCACGCTTACTCAATGCGGGTTGGCGATTTCAAACTCATCATTAGAAATTATAAGCCCAGGTTTCCTCACGATGTTTTCCTTCACCGTTTGTCAGTGGTGTCTAAATAATATTAGAAAGTACATATAATATACGTGATCTCATTATAGAAGAATGACATTAAATCACGCCTTTTATCCCCGAAGGGGTAGGCAGAGGTGCACATTATGGCATTTCACAATGTAACACCCACTGTTCACTATTTATGTTATGAGTCCCATGTAATAGAGGGCGAGCCTATCGTAGTGTAAATATACAAATATAATATTTACTTTAAACCCGTTAAATGCCTATAATTAGCTAACCATAAATACACAAAATAATAAGACCAATCACAAGAGCAACCTGCCATCTTTAGACACAATAATTGCATGTCATTATACGCATATCAGATTGTGTCTATTAATCATTACAATTTATACAGATAAATAAAATTGGAGTTCCTGTTTGTAATATTGAAATAACAACGTAACACTTTTACAATTTTTGTCTGTCTGTCTGTTTGTTTGTGGAGGCTAATCTCTGAAATGGCTGGACCGATTTTGAGGGGAATTTTATTGGCAGGAAGCTGATGTATGTACATTTTTTAGGGGGGGAGGGGAATCATCGATTGACTGCTCCGGGATTTTTTATGGCATTTGCCGGTAAACGAGCAGATGGATCACCTGATGGTAAGCAATCGGCGTCGCCCATGGACAACTGGAACACCAGAGACGTCAAATGTGCGTTACCGGCCTTTTGGGGATTAGAAGTTTGAGGATAGTTGGGGTTTCAGGGATTGGGGAGATTGGGGAAGGGGAGGGTAATTGGACCTCCGGTAACCTCACTCACACGACGAAACACAACGCAAGCATTGCTTCACGTCGGTTTTCTGTGAGGCCGTGGTATCACTCCGGTTGAGCCGGCCCATTCGTGCCGAAGAATAGCTCTCCCACAAGAAAAATTGTCAGACTCTTACTGACTAAAAACCACCCCATTCCCCCTCCTGCATGTCGAGCCGGAGCCCAGTAACCCGTTACGTTCTCCGCGACTGATGTATGTACAATGTACATAGGCTACTTTTATTTAAAAAAAAAAATCAGACGAAGTTGCGGGTGCAGCTAATCTGTATAATAATATGATCTGTAATTTTGCTAGCTATGTGGTGATTGTAGAGTAGTAGAGTAGAATATATTTGTCATTGTCACCATCCCTAGTCTTCTTGTCTGGAATACTTTATATCCCACGGCTACGTGGGCAAAACCGCGGGTCGCGGGGTTAAAATCCTTTGGGGGTTTAAAAGCGTACCATTAACCTAAGTTAATTGATGATAATGTTGATACCATATTTAGCATTAAGCAATATGATTACAGAAATAAGGAAATGACCAACAGATATAAATCATTTGAAGATGAATGAAACAATGGGACGATGACATCAGTCACTTTGTCACCTTGACTGCGTTCCGTAATCTATTCACACGTCAAACCGCATCTTTAGCCGTCCAGTCGTTTCGGAGAATGAATCACTAATGTGCAATAGACATAGTCGCAGAGAACCTAACGGGTAACCGGGGCTCCGGCTCGACGTGCAGGAGAAGGAACGGGGTGGTTTTTAGTCAGTAAGAGTCTGACACTCCCTCCCGCCTCACCCAGGCGGGAGCAGTCATTCGATGATTTTCCCCGCTTTAAAAAAAATGTGCAATAGACATACCTATTTTTGGAATTGGGTTAAGGATCATTTGACTTTGTTTTTACAATAACTATCGTGACGTGAGACATATTAAATTAATTAAAAATCGCGGGTTACTCACGTCATCACGTGAATATACTGAGAAAAGCTCTACTAGTGCCGCGAGCGCGCACGCTGCTCATAAGGAAGAGCCCCTCTGTGGCTCGAAACTAGTAGTGATTTTCTCAATATATTCATGTGAGTAACTCACGATTTGTAGTTAATCATTTTGGCTTTTTGTATTGTATATTTTTGATTGTATAAGAAAAAAGAAAGAAAAAATTGTCTATTCACACCGTAACAAATTAAAAAGAGACAATAGTTATACAACAAAAATAGTAAAACAGAGGCCTTAGTACGAGTTTGATTTACGTTTAAAACGAGTACGTTTCGGCGCTCTGATTGGCCGGCGCCAATGAAGCAACCTATCACAGCACCGAACGCGTACTCGTACGATTACTTTCAGCGTAAAAGAAACTCGTACTAAGTCCTCTGCATATAGCGACTGCAACATAAGAGGTCGTCTATCCACCTTGTGGGCGAACGTCTCATTTCCATTCTAAGAATTAAAACTAGAATGAATGATGTATTGAATTCTTATATCTATATATAATAGTGACGTAATAAAAAATCCCAATCACGTAATAATGCATTCATCAATGCACGATGGCCGACTTTTTCTTGTAAGTATGGATTTCGAAAAAAACCGGTTTTAAACGAAAGCGAGTCTTGTTCGTGGTGGCCCGGAGGTTTAAGGCGCCCGCTTCTCATGCTTAAGAATGTAGGTTCGAAACCTTCCGACGGCAAATACCGATGTTCCTTTTTCGGAGCTATATGTATACTAGCTGTTACTCGCGACTTCGTTCGCGTGAAATTATTCATTATTTCTTGTTAATTTATACTTTTTTAACACGACAACGTGTTGGGTCTGTCAGTGTCATTAAAATGAATTGTTAAAACGAAATAATCTCCGTAATCCGAATTTTGCGGATTCGATCCGAATTGTCGACTCGAAATCGATATTTATTTATATGTTTTGTTATTCAGTTCAGGTAGGTAATGTTTTGATCGAGTCTACCGTACCCCTTCAGGAAATTATTAATATAGAAACTTTCTAAGATAATTTAAACACCACAGGCAAACGGTGAAGGAAAATATAGTGAGAATATCGACGCTGGTCGACGATCAGGTGATCTGTCAGCTCGTTTACCAGCTTATTCAATAAAATAATTACATCCGTTTCTTCAGCTAACTACTTATTTATAAGGAAAACAAAATACAGTGCGAATTATACCAGCAAATATCAATCTTCGTTCGCAACGAGGCAAGACTCAAGGTCGTATCAACTTGACGGTTTTTTATTTTGATATAAAACCTCTTTTATGAGACGTCATATGTCGGTGGGTCAGTTTTGTTTTTCTTTTGTTATTGTCTCTTTATTATCATTGGGCTCCGGCTCGAAGATGGTAGGAACGGGGTGGTGTTTAGTCAGTCAGTCATTATGATATCTTCTGATTCACTTCGTTGCGGGAACCAAGACAGTTACTCATGTCCCTGGGACGCGCTGGACTTCAGTGTTCCGGTGTTTTCATGGTTGTATCTACTACAGATCCTGGCTTAAAGGAGTTGCAGTGGTTTTGGGAGGTTGTGGCGGGCTTGTCCCATTAAAAAAAGTCAGTCATTATGATATGAGGTTATGGCGCCGACTTCTAACCTATCAGTGGGCCTCGGACGCTGCTCATGGCACAGAGGGTCATGGCGATCCGAATGATCCGCGGATAC